TTCAAGTTTACAAGATTCAAATCAACATACAAAAATTAATTATTTGCAATAAACGATTTAGAAGTGGCAACTAAAAAACAAATACTATTTATAATAGCACTAAAAATCATAAAATACTTAGGTGTAAATTTAACAAAACAAGATTCATACACTGAAAATGATAGAATGAAAGAAATCAAAGAAGACCTAAATATATGGGGATATATACAATGTTCATGAATTTGAAGATTCACTATTCCAAGATGTTTGTTTTTTCCCAAACTAATCTGTAGATTCAGTGTAATCCCATTCAGAATCCTGGCAGATTTTATCTTTTTGGTAGAAATGGACAAGTTGATTAAAAATTTTTATGTAAGGGCAGGAGAACTAAAATTTTTGAAAAGAAAAAAAAAGTTGGAAGGTTGACAGTAACTGATTTTAAAACTTACTATAAAACTACAACAATCGAGACAATACCACAAAGGTGCAAAGGCATTTCAATGAAAAAAAATTTGGTTTTTCTCAATAAATTTTTGTTGGAACAGTTGGATATCATATACAAAGAAGGGAAAAAAAACTCTTCATGGCTTTCAGAGGAGATGGCACATGAGCCAGGTGTGAAGTCTGGGTGTATTTACATACAAGCCTGGCACACTTCTGTCTCATTGTAGGCAGTTGATAGAGCCTGTGGAATACAGTTCGAGAGGCTGCCTCTCTACCTAAAAAAATTTTTTAAAAGAACCTTGATTCATACCTTATACCATATACAAAAACTAATTCAAATTAGAACATAAAGTAACTAAAACTATAAACCTTAAACTATAAAACTGCTGAAAGAAAGCATAGGGAAAAGTCTTTGTGTCCTTGTGTTGGCCAGAAGAATGATACATTAAAATTTTTGTGATAAGCTGGACTTCATCAAAATTAAGAACTTTAGCTCCTCAAATGACATTCTTAAGAAAATGAAAAGACATGCTACAGACTAGAAGCTGTTTGCAAATTACAAATTTGACAAATGACTTCAATATCAAAAATATATAAAAACCCTAAAAACTTGGGGCGCCTGGGTGGCTCAGTCATTAAGCGTCTGCCTTCGGCTCAGGTCGTGGTCCTAGGGTCTTGGGATCGAGCCCCATGTCGGGCTCCCCACTCCGCAGGAAGCCTCTTTCTCCCTCTCCTGCTCCCCCTGCTTGTGTTCCCTCTCTCGCTGTGTCTCTCTCTGTCAAATAAATAAATAAAATCTTTAAAAAAAAAAAGAAAAGCCTAAAAACTCAATAATAAGAAAACAGACAACCCAATAGAAGATCGCAAAAGACTTGAATAGACACTTCATCAGTGTAGATATACAGATGGCACATAAGCACGTGAAACAATCCTCAACATCACTAGTCATTATAGAAATGTAAGTAGAAACCACAGATACCACAACATACCAATATAATGGCTGAAATGAAAAGGAAGAGAGAAATCTGACAGTACCAGATGTTGGTGAGAATGTAGAACTCCGACCTTGGTGGTGGGAATGCAAAATAGTACATATGGTCATTCCAGGGTTCACGTTGGTAAACAGTTTGGCAATTTCTCATAAAGTTAAATCTACGCTTAACATATAACCCAGCAAACATAACATATGACTTAATGTTAAGTCTCAAACACATGACTTAACATCTGACCCCAGCGACTCTTATACCCAGGTATTTACCCAAGTTAAATAAGAACTGTGTTTACACAAATACTAGTCAATGACTGACTATAGCAGCTTTATTCATAATAGAATGAATTATGAATTCATTCAAACTGGGAGCATCAGAAATGTTCATTTGCCAAATGGATAAACATACCAGTATATTCGTACAGTGGACCACCGCTACTCAGTGATGAAAAGAAAGAAATTACTGATACATGTAACAACATAGATAAAAAATTGATTATACTAAGTTGAAGCCAGACTCAAAAGACTACATATTGTATGACTTCATTTATATGACTTTCTGGAAAAAGCAAAACTATTGAGACAGTAAGCAAACAGTGGTTGCCTGGAGTGGGGAGTAGGGTTTGACTACAAAGGAGCATAGGTAATTTTGGAGGAGGGTGATAGAACTGTTTTATACCTTGATTTATGGTAGTAATATGACTGTAGGTCAAAACTCATAGAAATGTACACTAAAATGGGTGAATTTTATTAGATGCAAAGAATAATCTAACCAAAAGCATCAGGAAGGGCTTCATAAGATGCCCAGGTCTAGAAAGCTTTGAAGGTGTACAGGTGGGCAGTGGGGAGGAGCTCAAGGGACACAGGATTTGCAAAGGCTTAAAGTTAGCATACATACAAAGTTTTTCATACTTTCCAGTTGTTTGGAAAGTCAGAACTCTAAAGGTACACAGTGGGAGAGGTGACCAGAAGAAGTAGACAGAGCCACGTTTGGAAGGCCTCAATGTTTGGTAAAGAAGTCTTTGGTAAAGATTTGCCTACTTACTTACTTATTAAATATTTATTTTGTTTATTTTATAGACAAAAGTGATTTTAAAATATTTAAATGATAAGTGTTGTATAAAGAAGAAAAGTTTTAAGGGAGAGATGGGAGATACCAGACAGCTTTATGGGGTTTTTTTTTGTTTTTTTTTTTTAACATAGTCAACTAAAATGGTTGTTTTTATTTTAATATTCTGGCCTTCCTGCTTGCTTGTTTTTAAATTGCCTTTTTTAAAATTTCAATTCAATTAATTAACATATAGTGTATTATTAGTTTCAGAGGTAGAGGTCAGTGATTCATCAGCCTTATATAATATCCAGTGCTCATTACATTCCATGCCTTCTTTAATGTCCATCACCCAGTTACCCCAAGACTTTCATATTTAATTCATGTGTTGACTTGTTTGCTCTCTCCTTTCTTTAAAATCTCTGTTAAGAGCAGGGTCTGTCCACAATACATCCCTGGAGCCTGACACTTTTTGAAGTAAACCATACATGCAAGGGCCTTGAGGTGCAAATGACTATGACATGCTAAAAGAGCAGGAAGAAGGCCAGTATGACAAGAGGGAGAGGGCTGGGAGATGAGCTAAGCGAGATAGGCAGGGCCAGATCACGAAGGCCTTTGTAGACCACAGCAAGTGGTTTGGGTTTAATTCTGAGTATAATAGGTGGCCTCCAGAGAGTTGTAAGCTGAGAGGCAGGTGGGGAGGGGCAGATTATTATCTGATCATATTTAGTGTAAAGATCATTCTTGCTGCTGTATGAAGAATAGACAGAACAGGACAAAGAGTGAAGCAGGGGAACGAGTTATAAAGGTTACTAGAACAGTCCAAGGGATGAGATTGTGACTTGGATTAGGGGGTAGCAATGAAGAATGGACAGAAGTAGATAGAAGGCTTATGGATGGATCTTGGCGATTTGTTGATGAATTGGGTGTGGAATGTGGGACAGAGAAAAAAGGCAAGGATAACTCCCAAGTTAAAGGACCTGAGCAACTGAGTAGATGGTGGTGGCATTTACCGAGATGGGAGAGTCTGAAGGAAATATACCTTGGGTGAGGGGCTGGGCCAGAGAATGAAAATTTTTTGATGTTTTTGTTCCATGAACACCAAGGGGCAGAGAGGCTTTTTTTTTCCATCTTAAAGTATTTTTTTAATTGAGATATAGTTGACATATAATAATATATTAGTTTCAGGATAATAATAATATTAATATATTAGTACAGCATAATGATTCAGTATTTTTTTTTTTTTTTAAAGAACTTGGATTTCAGTATTTTTTTCTCTTTAGGTGGTGTCTTAGTTTGGGCTGCTATGATAAAGTACCAGAGACCAGATGGCTCATAAAGAACAGAAATTTATTTCTTACCGTTCTGGAGGCTAGAAGTCTGAGATCAGGCTCCATGGTCAGGTTCTAGTAAGGGCTGTCTTCCAGGTTGCAGACTGCTGACACCTGGGCAGAGAGCAGAGAGAGGAAGCAAGGTCTCTTGTGACTCGTCTAAGGGCACTAATCCCATTCATGAGGGCTCCTTCCTCATGGCCTCCTCTAATCCTAATTACCTCCCAAAGTCCCCATCTCCTAATACCATCATACTAGGGGTTAGGGTTTCAATATATGAATTTTGGGAGGACACAGTCAATAACAGTTGGGAAAATGAAGGGCTTTAATCAGGGGACGGACTTAGTTTTTATGTTAAGCAACTGCTTTGGCAAGCAGGCCTGTGGATGATGTGTGGAAAGGATGAGATTAGAAGGAGTCAGACCAGTTGGTGATTTAGGCAAACAAATCCTGGGCCAACCCTAGAGCAGTGGACACAGGAAGGGGCAGGATCGGTGGGAAGTGGTGACAGATAACCCAGGTGGCAGGAACGGGTGAATCCAAGATGACATTCCCATTTCTACGCTCAGAGACATCCAAGGAGAACTGGGTCTGAGGGGTGTGTCGAGGTAATTTTTATCCGTTTGGATCTATAGCGGCTTGATTTTTCACTTTGCACACAGCTGCCAGCAGTACACCCGCATACTGGGTGAGCTTCCCCACTAGGGTGGGAGTGAAGTTGGTTGGAACTCAGAAAGCTGTGGTGGGGAGTCTGAGTAAGGTGACAGCTCACAGTTTGCCCTGGGTCCTGTGTGTCCACATCTCTCTAAGCAGCTGTGGCCGTGAATGACTCCTGGCTGTATCAGATTGCGTGTCCACTGGAGGAAGGATTCAGGGAGTACGGAGATACGACTTCAGGAGGAAAATCTCTCATCTTTGGCGAGGGGGCAGTTGAAATGGAATGCCAAATGTGAGGAGCCTTCTCTGTGGATGACACAGTCAGAGCTCCTGTAGAAATATGTCTCGGGTGGAGCTGACCTCTCCCTGAGCTCTCATTTCAGGGGCTGTCTCCTTCCACCTTTATGTGCTACGGCTTCTTGTGTGTTCTGGGCTGGCTCCTTCCCTTGCTTGTCTGGACTCTGACCGGTCCTGCTGACATGTCTTGGTTTTGCTGTTCTCTGCTAGAGGCATTGACTGTCTTTAAATCCTACCCCGGTCCCTTGTGTTTCAGCCTGAGAGGAAGTTCGGAGTGGTGGTGGTTGGCGTTGGCAGAGCCGGCTCTGTGCGGATCCGGGACTTGCGGAATCCACATGCTTCCTCGGCTTTCCTGAACCTGATTGGCTTCGTGTCCAGGTGGCTGGCATTTGTCTTGTGCCTTGTAATTCATGGCAAAGCCAGTGTGGTGAATTAGGGCTTGGGACATAGAGATTCTCCAGACCCAGGAGAGAGAGAGCCGGCTCTGGGGTCATTCCAGAGAACCGTGCTCAGGGGTCAGCCCCACAAGATCTCAAGTTGGGATGGGTCTGGGAGCTAGAGTGCTGGATCTGCAGCTGGGATGTACAGCGAGTCAGCCTCGAGGGGACTGTGAAGACAGAGGCAGGGAAGATGAGAGCAGGGCCTGATGGTTACACGAAAAGGGCACAAGGAACACATGGTGGGTCGGCCTGTAAGAAGGCTGTCAGTGTGTGTCAGGTGATCGTTATATCACTTATCATGATAGCCATCCATGCAATGGCCTTGGGCTATTTGACATAGATACCATTATCAACCCCACTTTACAGATAAAGAAAGGGAGCCACAGAGAGGTAGAGATGTTATGTAATTTGCCTATGGACACACAGCTAGAAAGTCTCAAAGTCTGGATTTGAACACAGGTCTATTCGATTCCAAAGCCCATCATCTAAGCCACGTGTATCCTTTTCCCTTTGATAACTTTGAGCCTCACTTTTATCTCCTATAACTTCATTTATCTGCTATAACTCAATCAAAACCAAACTTCCCACCGTGTTTCTTCTTCTCTGACCCACACTCACTCAGCACCTTCCTCCACCACTCACCAAACTAACACCGTATAATGTCATTTATGAGTGTTAATTGTGAACAAGATGTTGTAGGCACTGTGTTGGCTGAGGAGAGAAGGTGGGGAGCAACTTAGGCACCTCTCTCTGCTTTTTAGTGCTTTAGAGAAATCAAACAAAGCATGAATAACTATTGTGATGGTCCACATGGACTATCTGGGGCACTAGAGAGACCCAGAAGTGGTAGGAGTCTACCCTTGGTCAATCTTCTCCCCTCAGTAAGATTCTAAGGGACTTGCACATAAATGGGAGATCAAAATTATTATTAACCAGCACTGTAACTCCCATTGCACCCCTACCTGAAGCTGGGTTGAACACAGCACTTGGGCTCAAGGCTGTAGTGGGACCTCTCCTTGTCCCTTAAACCCCAGTCTTCTGCTAGCTGGCTGCCATGACTGATGTAGTGGTAACTCCTAAACTATTCAAGTCATATGGGAAGATGGCCAGCTCATACCCCCTGCTTTACTGCACCCCTGCCTGTGTCACACCATTCCCCTTCTCACATACCCTGTTTCTCATGACCTACCTGCTGAGTCCTACCATCTCCCCAGGAAACCTACTCTGAAACCCTAAATTAGATTGAATTACCCACCTGAATCCCCAAACACATTTCTCATGTTCATCTTGTATTGATGTTATATATTTACATGTGTGTCTTGCTTCTTCTCTTAGACTGTGAGTGAAGTCTGGTAGTCATAGTGGTTGGCCAGACGCTTGGAGCTGGCTGTGATCAGAGGGACCACTTCTCATGAGATAAAAGGAGATCAGTTGTTTTTGTTTTAGAGATGTAGTGATTCAAAGACTGCCATATCACAGAGGCTGTTCACAGTAGTGTCGGCAGTCAATGCTGGGTCTCTTGACTTAAACCCTGAGGCTGTTTTTTCTCACTCTGTGGTGGAAAATGTCCTGGAAGTGGGAGGGAGAGAGGGAATTAATGTCTTCATTTCCAAAAGCTGGTTATCAGGACGTTGTTGGGAGGAGAGGAGAAAGATGGTGCTCATTTATTGGATATGCTGTGTACTTTTGAGGTGCATTTTTGTTATTCTCAAATAGACGAGAGCTTGGGAACATTGAGGAAGTTCAGCAGATTTCTTTGGAAGACGCTCTTTCCAGTCAAGAGGTTGATGTTGCTTATATCTGCAGTGAAAGCTCCAGCCATGAGGACTATATCAGGTGGGTTTCCAATGTAGGTAGTCCTTACCTTGCCCAGTAGTGCAAGAGAATAAAAATGACGGGGCAAGCTGAAATCTCAAAGAAATTTTAATAATTGAAGGGAAAAATTACAGTGGAGCCATTACCTTTAAAAAAATGTCAAAATGCTCAAAACTCTTACTATTGGTTATAAATGTATAAGAAAATGAAAACTATGTAAAACTGATACTTACTTAGTACACTGTAATTTAAAACAATACGAGGAATTAAAGTGTGTTCTTTGTAAAAAATGTATTGACAGTAGTTTGAATAGTGCTTGTCTCTTGTCATAATAGGATGTGGAGCCAGCATCTTTTCTGTGCTTTGGCAAATTGTCGTAATCCTTTCTAAGTTTGGCTCAGCTGCCAACATTTTATCCTTTGTGCTTTTAACATTTTAAATATCTCTGAGAGTTCCTTTAATATGAACTGTTTTTGCCATGAGATAAGTGAGGAAGGAAGGTAGTGATGGCATCAAAGAGGGGAGATGACATTATAGAGCAAGAGAAGTGACAGGTCCCCCTGGCCCACCTTCAGATGCAAAGCCTAGAGCCCTTCATGCATTTGGTGGGACTGAGCCTGGAAGGAGGAGCCCCACACATGACCTGGCAGCTAACAAGGCAGTTCCAGCCACTTCCCAACACCCAGGCCTCTGCATATGCTGCCCAAAGTGAAATACCCTCATCTTGCATGTTGCTCCTGGAAAACACCTACTCCTATTTCAGATGTTACTGAAATCTTTTCAGACTGCCTCAGGCAGAGCTGGCTGTTCGTGGGTTTGGTAGGCTTTATTTATGGCTATCATGTGATAACAGGCAGTTTACAGGCTAATGTCTTTGTTTCTCCTCCAAAGTAGCTGCCAAATAGTACCTAGCTGAATACATGAGTAGGTGAATGGATGAATGTTCAAATTAACACAGAACTCGAACGCCTCTTCTAGCATAGGAGAAAGTAACAGGATGTGCAGTTCATCCTCCTCATCCTCTGGCCCTGATTCGCATCTGCATTCCTTCATGACTCAGAGACGTACATGCATTTATAACAGTCTGTTCTCTGTCATGCAGGGCATTTTAGTGAAGCTTACTTGAAGTATATTTCTCTCTCTCTTTTTTCCAAAGGCAGTTCCTTAATGCTGGCAAACATGTCCTTGTGGAATATCCCATGACACTGTCTTGGGCAGCAGCTCAGGACCTGTGGAAGCTGGCTGAGGAGAAAGGTGACGTATATTCTGTCGAACACAGAACCTCTTTTAGAATTTCTGCCTGTAAGATGTCTCTGGTATCATCTTTACGCCTTTAAAACTTAACCCTATGTCAGATGCGTCCTGTGGGCTCCCAACCCCCCCAACACTCCCCGGTACTGTAGGTGCACATAACGGGTGTGTGTGGAAGGCCAACAGGGTGGAGGGATGAGTGGGAATTTGCAAACTTTTGTTAGAGACTTATCTTTTCTTTTACTCTAATGAAAAATATGAATTAGCTGCGACTTACGCTAGTGTCATGATATTATTCCGCTGTTATTCATATGATACTTACATTGCTAATGGAAAAATGTCCAAATCAGAGTCATTGATTGTCTTATCTGTGCACACTTTGTAGTTTGTGTTGTTTCTCAAGAGGAGTATCGTTTATCAAATATTTACTATATGCCAGCAACTTGGGAACTCTGCTAAGCACTTTATATGTTATTTTATTTAATTCTCCTAGAAACCCTTGGAAGTAGGTATTTTCTCGAGCTTATGTAGAGGAATGTTACATAATTCCTTATGTAAACAAATCCATGCTTCAGAGAAGTTAAGTAATTGGTGCCAGATCACAAAGCTAGTAACAGGATTACGAATTGGGAGAAGGAGATTTGAATTCAGTCCTTTCTGGCTCTGAAGTCTACATTGTTCCTTTAAGCCATACTGCCCTCCAGAGATTTTTGTTTTTACAGTACCTCCACAAGTTCCTTTATGGGGGCAGTGAGAATTAACTAGAATGTTTAGGGATTACAGGATCTAGTTAAATAAAGTTTAAATTACAAACTCTTTGTTTCAACATTTGCTATTGAAAATCTTTAATATATAAGCAAAGTATGGTGAACACTTACATGAAAATCACCGAAGAAAGCACCTTGCACTTATCACCAGTGTAGACTGATCAGAATTTATTGGAACTCTTGTAGCACTCTGTAGCACTGGAATGTACTGCTGAAGAACAGAACCCATCTTTCCCCTCTTGTAAGCTCCAGTGCTAAACACTGCCTAGAACTGAGTAGGCCTTCAGGAGGTGTTGGTTGAATGAGCAGATAGATGATTATTGATGTGAGTGAGAGGAGCTTTGAGGCCATCACCTTTGTATATTATTTTCTCATGGCACAGATGTCCATGGACACAAAGAACAAGATACTAAAGAATACCCCATAGATTTCTTGCTAATTGCAAAGAAAAAAGTGTACTTTTACAATGAAGAACTCTATTGTTATCATCCTAACCAAAAGATTGCTAATAAGGGTCAATCTGATGTCACAAACCATTTGATGTGATAGACACAGCATCAACCATATAATTGAGATTTACAGGTAATACAGGGATAAAGGAACATATTAAATAACACTGTAAAAAAAAAAGCAAGCTAGAATGTGGAACACTCTACAAAATAGCAGGCTGTTTCTTCAGAAAGATAAAGTCCTGCACATAGTGACTTCCTTCCAGAGTAAATACAGAAAGAAGGGGAAAAGAGTACACTTTACACTGGAGAAACCAAACACTACCTCAGCTAGTTGATCAAAATTAACATCAACAGTGGTAAGTCATGATAATAAGATGTACCTTCAATATAATATGATGAGAATGGCCCATTACCTCTTTAGTTTTTCTCTTCCAAAACATAGCCTCAGTGCAGTCATGAAAACAGCAGCAGAAAAATCCCAGTTGAGGGGTGTTCTACAAAATGCCTGACCAATACTCTTCAGAACTATCAAGGTCATTAAGAAACAAAAGAGGTTTAAGAAACTTTCCAACCTAAGAGGAGGCTAAGGAGACATGATGACTAAATGTAATATGGTATCCTGAAACAGAAAAAGCGCCTTAGGTATAAACTAATGAAATCTGAATAAAATGTGGACTTTAGTTAATTTTTTTAAAAATGAGAAAAAAATAATAAGGATCAGTGTTATATTAGAGCCTTGGTATTAGCTCCATGAGCAAGCAGAATCTGGGTGGATATGTAGAGATCATAAATGGCTTTAAAAAAGAGAGAGATCATTTTGGATGGCAAAAATTATGGATAATTTAGGACTAATGTCAGCAAGATTGTGGAATAGGAAGCCCCTGGACCTCATTCCTCCATGGAGACACTGACTTAAGAGCAATATGTAGACTATGTTGCCTTTGTGAGGACTCCAGAAACCATGTAAATGTTTGCAGTACCCCAGGCATACACAAAGCCAAGAAGAACTGCATTGAAGCAGGTAAGAAAGTTCAATGCATTAGCTCATCATAGCCCTTTCCCCTCCCTGGCACAGCATGGTATGATCAGGACAAAACTCCCAACTCTTAGCTTCTCCCTTGGGTGAAAAGACAAGGGTGGAACATATGTCCAATGTTCTGGTTTTTCAAGGGCTGCTTGAGGGACTGATTTCTACCTCTCCTGACTTAGAGTGCTGAAAGAAATAGTAGTGTGCTTTAGATGCAAGTTTGGGGCTGCTAAGAGCAAGGCAAGCACTGTGGCTTTTTACAGCATCAGAGAGAGTGCAGTATTGCATAAAGACACCAGGGTGAGCAAGAGATTACAGGTTTTTGAGAACAGAGGCAAGCCTCTTTCAGTTGGAAATTACACATATAATGCCAGAGAAGACACATCCCCAGAAAAGATTTGAGAGACCCCTTGAATTGCTAGCCTGACTGATTGGTGAAGGTCTTTTCCTTGCACAAAGTCAGTCTGTAAAGACTGGAAGAAGTGGCTGTTTTTCCAAATAGATCTCAACAAATGATCACAGGGCATAAAAAGGAACAGGGAAACATCGGCCTCTCAAAGGAACAAAATTAATCTCCAGAAACTGATCCTAAAGAAATAGAGGTCTATGAATTACTGGACAAAGAATTCAAAATAACTCTAAAAAAATGCTCAGTCAGCTAAAAGAGAACACAGACTAGTAAATGAAATCAGGAAAACAGTGCACAAACAAAATGAAAATATATCGACAAAGATGTAAACTATAAAAAGGAATAAAAAAGAAATTCTAGAGATGAAGAATAAAATGATTGGATTGAAAAATATGCATGGGTTCAACAGTAAACTTGATCAAGTGGAAGAAAGAATTGGTAAACTTGAAGATGGGTAATTTGAAATTTGAGTCAAAGGAACAAAAACAAAAAAGAATGAACAAAAGTGAAGTAAGCTTAGGGACTTATGGTGCACCACAAAATAGATTAATATATGCATTATGCAAGTCCAGAAGGAGAAGTTCAAGAAAGGGTTAGTGAGCTTATTTGAAAAAAATAATGGCTGAAAACTTCCCAAATTTGAAGAAGGAAATGGAATACAAATTCAAGACAATGAACTCCAACTAGGATAATTCCAGAAATCCATACCAAGACACATTATAATCACACTGTCAAGATCACAGATAAAGGTAAAATCTTGAAAAAGGCAAGAAAAAAGTGACTTGTCATATATAAAGGAGATCTTAGAAGATTATTAGCAGAATTCTCAGCAGAAACCTTATAAACCAGAGGGAGTGGGATGATGTATTCAATTTGTTGAAAGGAAAACAACTGCCAACCAATACTATATTCACCAAAACTGTCCTTTAGAAATGAAGGTGAAATTAAAACTTTCTCAGACAAACATTAGCTGAAGGAGTTAATCACCATTAGACCTACTCTACAAGAAATGCTAAAGGGAATCTTTTAAACTGAAGCAAAAGTATGTTAAACAGCAACACGAAAGCATACAAAAATAAAAAGCTCTCTGGTAAAGGTAAATATAAAGACAAATATAGAATCCTGTAGTATTTTGTTGGTCCATAAATCATTTTTAATTCTGGTATAAAATTGAAAAAACAGCATAAAAAATAACTATAAATCTATGTAAATGGATAGACAATATAAATAGAAATATAGAAATAGATTATTGTAGCTAGATGTTTTATATAATCCCCATAGTGACCACATAAAAATATCTGGAGAAGATATACAAAAGGAAATGAGAAAGGAATCAAAACACATCACCACAAAAAAAATCAACAAAACTCAGAAGAAGACAGTAAGAGAGGAAAAGAAGGACAAAATACTGTAGGACAACAGCTAACAAAATGGCAGCAGTAAGTTTTTTCCTGTCAGTGATTACTTCAAATGTAAATGGTTAAACTCCCTAATCAGAAGACTTAGATTGGCTCAGTGGATTAAAACAAAACAAAAACAAAAACAAGGTCCAACTATATGCTATCAACGAGAGACCTCAGATCCAAAGACACACATGGACTAAAAGTGAAAAGATGGAAAAAGATATTCCAAGTAAATGGTAATGAAAAGAGCAAAAAGTCATGCTTGTATGAAACAAAATAGGCTTTAAGTCAGAAAGTGTCATAGGAGATGAAGAAAGACATTATATAATGATAAAAGGGTCAGTTCACCTAACATTAGAGCTCCCAAATATATGAAGCAAACATTGTTGAAGGTGCACAATAATAGTAGGAGACTTCAGTACTTCACTTTGAGTAATGGGTAGGAAAACCAGATAAAGATCAATATATGAAACCGAGGACTTGAACAGCACTGTAGACCAATTGAACGTATATATACAAAACACATCCAATAATAGCAGAACACACATTCTTTTTTTTTTTTTAAGATTTATTAATTAGAGTGTGTGCACACACCAGCAGGAGGAGGGGCAGAGGGAGAAGGAGAGAATCTCAAGCAGACTCCCTGCTGAGCATGGGGCCCAAAAGTGGGACTTGATCCCACAACCCTAAGATCATGATACGAGCTGAAATTAAGAGTTGGACTGAGCCACGCAGGCACCCCTGAACACACATTCTTCTCAAGCACACATAGATCATTCTCCAGAATAGACCATATGTAGGCCACAATAAGTCTTAACAAATTTAAAAAGATTGGAATCATGCTAAGTATCTTTTCAGAACATAGTGAAATGAAACTAGAAATCAACAGCAGAAGAAAACCTGGAAAACCCACAAATACGTGAAAAGTAAACAGCATACTCTTAA